GACATTTCTAATGTACTTTTATATTGGCTGTGTCTACTTCGCTGAAACTTTTTTAGTCGATGTGCCAGTATATAGCTAGCAATCCCATGTGATCATGGAAAATGGTTTATCGTTATATATGCATTGTCGAAGTTAACTTATGCTTTTATAGATACGAGTTGGAAATTACAACGTATATATTAAACACTTATCTGTGATATGTTTTATAATCGTGTATCGACAAAGAAAAATAAGTCATACCATTTCGGAAAAAAACGATTTATGCATATGTTATTACATATATTGAATTGGCTCACATAAATACATGATCTAGAATATTATATTAGGCGTGAGTCAGTTTTATTGTGTTATATAACATTTATTAGTGAACTAGATTCGTTAAAGTCTCACAAAGTAAGGATGCTTTGTGCCTAATATGCGTAGATTGAACGATGATCCAAAGAATCGAGTCTTCGACTCTCTGATTTCGTATAAGTTTTACCGGTATTTAAATCATAATAATAACCTTCATCATCGTCATCAGAAAAACCATAGAAGCTTCCGTTATCAGAGAAATTCTCATCATTATCCTCATTATCATTAACATCCTCATCTACCGAATTAGAAGTATGTGATGACTGAATAGAGGGAGTGCATGTATCACTTACCTCAGTTTCCGGTAAAGTTTTTTCACCTATCTCAGTTTCGGATAAATCATCTAGAGAATCACTATTATCCTGATCATCAGTGAAATCTATTTCAGGCTTTTTGGTGAAGTGATCTATTATCGTTTGAATCTGAGAATTAGTAAATTTTGAAATAGCATTCGCACTATATGATTTAATATATTTGACCTTATCTAAACCTATCTTTTCGAATAACCTGAAAATTTTTCTAGCTCTTTGTGTTTGTTTATGCAATGTATTACGTTTAGTATCAAAAATTGACGTTGTTATCAAGGTAAAGCTATACGGGAGATATTTCCAAAACTTTGCTGATTATATAATCAACGTCATCCTGAGATAAATTCAAAATCGTTGTTGCATTAAAAGTTTTAATCCGACCTATTATTTCCTTCCCACCAATATTATTAAAATCTTTTTAGCTCTTTCTTTTCTTTTTCGAAGATTGGTCTCAGTAAGTTTATCTTGTGCAGAAATCTGTTCCCTAATTTTATCGTTAACTCTCGCATTAGACGCATCCTCACTGCATGTTTTTCTATAATGATCGAACCATAATTTAATACCTTTCCCGAAATCATAGTGGCAATAAATCAGGTCATGGGTAATTTTCTGATTATTGTCTTCGGCATTGGTAATCTTATCATATAACTCACGAAAATTAACTGAATCTTTGTCAATTTCGGAAACGTCCGACTGTAAAATAATCGTATTACTAGATGAGGTTTTCTGGGTGGGAGTTGTCAATTCTTTGATTAGTCTTCGTAACGTAGGAGAGTCTTCCTTCGAAACCGGCTTCTTCACTTTCTTGCTGGATGATTTGTTGGTAAATTCACTAACACGCTTTTCAGGCAGACTTGAGTATTGGGACAGACTTGGGAAGTGGAGGTCAGTAAACAATCTCGGGGATATATCCATCAAATCGCTGGTATTTTGACTTCCAGGCGTAGCATCAACCGTAGATGAGACATAGTCTCGAGGCTTTGCCTCTTCTATCTCTTTCTTGCAATCAGGTCTTGGACATATTGAGCATTTTTTGATGGATTTTTCGATGCAATCGCGATGATAAATATGTCCACAGATGAGTATAGTAATCGGGTTTTTTATTTCATACAAAAAAAGTTCTTGGTTGCATAACGAGCATGGATCTAGTTCCGGAACATCCACGCCTTCCGCAATCTTTTTTGAGAATGAATTTTTTAGAATGTTTAATGCAAGGGCTTCGAGAGATGAGATATTAAAAGACATAGCGAGGTGTATAACCGGATAGCGGAGCCAGTGTCTCTGACACAATAAGTTTTCCATATACTTAACTCATTTTTTATAACGGAGTTAGTGCCAAAGCACATATACCACACCTATCGCGACTAACAAAACCAATTTCGGATGTTATGAAAGCTAATTTCAGATTTGGTGATCGCTTCATTCATAAATTAATTATTTCTGCTCGGAATCACTCAATATTTACAGGAAATCGTAGATAGTTTCAGCCTTTTTTCTCATATATTTGAAAAAAGATTATATAGCTATCCTGCATATATAGATAGCACAATCATCTGGCTTCGAGCAAAAATTGGCATTAATTTCACAAAACAGCGATGAATTAGCTTAGTCTCTTTTGATAATTCATATCTCGTAATGATGATCCCAAATGAAAACACCCCTTATTACCACACATAAAATCAATTATCGGAAATAAGATCACATGCCTGAAAAATCGATTGCGTAATACAGATTAAGATGTTCGATCAGTGCATTACTTCGTAATACATATCACATACTATATCACAGAATAAAATCGAATGTCATGGAACTTTTCATCCATGATACAATCGTACGACTTGTTACTGTAACCAAATTTCTGAAATAAAATCACATGCTTGAAAATCGATTGCGTAATATAAATACAGATGTTAGATCAGCATATACCACAGAATAAATTAGAAGGTCGTGGAACTTTTCATGCATGATGTAATCATGTAACCCATTAATTGTTGCCACAAATTCCAAATCTGATTGTCCAACTCATGACATACATATTTTCTTTGTGAAAAGTTTTTTCGTTATGCATTGCATCGCTCCAGTTCCACATTCCCTAAATCTACCATTCCCATATCTAAATGAGACCAGAAATGAGCGGAGGGAGCATTTTAAAAGGACAGTATATTTGCATTGTGGTTATTTATTTGTTTTTTTACTTGCGATATAACAAAGTTTTTATTATTTCGAACTCGATTAATCAATATGTCTGCTGATTTACAAATCAAAATTCATAATTTTTTGATCAATGTTGAAGAGCATCATATAAATGCCACATCCGTTATTCATCAAGATTTAGAAGAAAATCCCTGGATTCCGCAAAATGAGTTGAGAATGATTGTAGACCAAGTCGTTGGTTATATTAATAATTTGTGTCCAGATGGATCTTTGCGTCAACGAAAACTTTTTAAAATTCATTCACAGGTTAGCTATTGATTTTTTTTACAAAATTATTTTATTATATGATGATATTATGTGGTTGGCTATTAGATTTACGTATCAAAAAGTAGCTCAATTATCCTATTAACCTGCTTCCGATAAATACTTGCTCAACAATGGAGAGATATCTAAGTTATAGACTGTTATGCAGTAATATAGTTTATCCTATTAATCTATTGATGAGAAAAATTTATTGCCTATACAGAGGATAATGGAGTTATATTGTTATATAAAAAATTAGTATCACATAGGATTTCATTGGTGTGATGGCCACACAAAAATGATAACTTTGCATATGTACTAATAATATATATATTTTTTAATGATGAGTTTTTTATTACTGAAAACTAATGTATATTTATTTTTTTAGTTTGAAGATGCTTTTGAGAGAATCTTCACATTGTATGATCTTGAAGTTATTAAAACAAATAAAGAAAAGCCTCTTAGCTCAGACCAAATCAAAAACAATATGATTGAGCTTCAAAGAAAACTCAAAAGAGATACGACCTCTCTATATCAATATTTATATTCTGATATAAGAGCAATATCTATTAAGATATTGTTTTGAAAAGATTCTACAGCCAGTCAAGTCATTAGTGACGAATCAAAGCTCATAAAGGAATTACCAGAAAATTTGAGAAAGGGATTTATGGTAAAGAATTATATGTATATTTGATCACGTTACCTTTGTTAACACTATTAATAATGTATTATTTACATTAGAAACTTATTCGTAAAATGACACCCACATCCATGCCAATGGTTCAAGAAATATGTAGAGAATTTGTACTAGATTTTAAAAGACATGAAATCAAAACGAAATTAGTCAAATTAATACACGATAAGGCTTGGAAAGAATCAAAAGAAGATATCAAATGCATGATCAAAGAAATTCTTGATATTTTGAAAGATATTTGAAATAACTCAGTATTCGATTCTGAACTTGCAAAGACATTAAATGAGGGGATGTACCAATCAACTGTCATTGTACCTGTTATTCAAGCTTCATTGAAAAATCTTCCTGCCGGAGATGCTTTTTTTATTAGTACGTCGAAAAAGCAAAGTATTACAAGTGCTAATAGAAAAGAAGAAGATTACATGAGAAGATGTTCAGATATTATACTTGTAGTAAAATATCTGGAGACAGTTTTTGAACTCATGTACTTAGAATGCTCTCGTTTAATTTTTAGTCCACAAAAAAAGACTGACAATGAGATTAAGTTATGATGAGAAACTAATGATGAACTATATTGGATACATCAAAGTCTTAAACTGGATAAAGATCAATTTGGTATTGTAGGTATGCAAGTAGCAGGTAATGTATTGCATTTGAATCTTCTAGTACGAGGTATAGTTAATATTCACCAATATTATCATTTACAATCTGCTGAGATTCCTGTACAATTTTCGGATGAAGCCGTTGTAACTAAATTTATAGAAACTTTGTTACTTTTACATAATATAATAATTACAAATTTATTTTTACTATATAATGCACCTACTGCCATATCACAAAGGCAAATAGAAGATAGTACCACAGTTTTTACTCCACGAGATGATAACTAGACTTCATTATATGTACTTTTTTTATATTTTATAACGGAGCTAGTGTCTTTGACACATATTTATCTCAGCTCTGGTGATTGAATTATCATATATAAATATATACTTTGTTATTTTATGTGAAATAATCATTTGTGTGATTATATCATGTATTATTTATCTGGCACATGATAGAGTATATTCATCACAGAAAATTAATTATATATTTATGGTACATTCTGAAATAGATTTCACACCTGAAATAGATTATATAATAACACAAATATAGAATGACATATTATCAATAAACCAACTATCTTTCTATCACTCTTGGCTATGTATATTCCATGAACTTCTATGCTAATTCTGATTGGTTAATAATCTTCTAGTTTTTTAATTATTTTAATTGGATGGATCACACTGGGAAATTAGCAGGAGGTTGACGATTGGATAATCATCATATACATACTGTTACCATTTTCATTGATTTATTAACTTTTAAGTATAAATCACGTATTCTTCACGTGTCTCAATTAAGTGAGAGAGTTATTAAAGGCTTTTATGTATTTAAAGTAATTAAAGTTGGAAGAGACTAATTTAATAAAGGTAGATAATGATATTGTCATGATCAGGCTCCTGGTAGGTATAATTGTGACGTGGGTGTTCAACCAACGTCTGTTGACAGTATTTTTATGATTACTCAATCTCTTTGTAAATAGTATACTTCAGGATCGCCACGCAGTGCGTTTTCTTCTATCTTATAAATAGACTCTCACTATTACTAATAGATGTTATGTCTACTTAATGTGGGACAGTCCTATAGCAATACAGTACTGATATTCTATAGCAACTTTGGTGGTTGTCCAATAGTGCGCAATAAAT